CATCTGTAGGTACCATAGAAACAGGCTGATTCAAAGCAGTTAATAACAAGTTATAAAAAAAAAACATCAACTTACAAGATATGTAATATGAATATAATCCGCTCGAACATAGCCACTAAATAATTATTAATCCACCAACTCCATTCTAAATGTTACGACTACTGGAGCATGACTACAATTTGATACTTGTAGATACCCCAATTATTAATGGTTTTTTTTTGTTTTTTTTTCTAGAAGATTGGACTGTTCTAGGTCCGTACATTTACAAACACTACACAACCTACGTTACAATTAGAGGAAAATACATTCAACCATTTACCAACTCGTGCAATCTGCAACGGTTTTGGTATTCGTTGTCGCTGATACTTTTACAAATCGTTTACTTGTTTCGTTATAAACGAAAACACCCGACTATTTTAACGCCTATAACGAGAAGTAAACGAGGTCACACGAGGCTTGTAAATCTGCCAACATTTAAAATAGTTATATGAAGCCATGGAAACAGGCAATTAATTAAAAGGGACCCCACAAATTATACAGTACCTCAAAATTCGAGCATCGCTCTGCTTGCCCTATAACAGTACAGCGTACCCAAGGTATAAAATAACCTACGTTGTTCAAATGTCCTTAAATAATGTTTACATTGCGTTTCCCAATCTTTTGACACGCCCCTCCCCCAATAATATGATATCTTTCGCGCGCCCCTCTTTTACTAGATGAGTGAAAAATGGATTAAGTGACGAGATATACTAAACAGATACACATTAAAATGCTATATATAATATAGTAACTACTTGTTATTTTCATTAATAAAAATTTATTAAAATGTTTAATTTTGCCTTATTCACTCTACCCTAATCACTCGCGCCCCCAAGATATCATTTGCACCTCCCTGGAAAGGTTCGCGCCTCACACTTTGGGAAACACTGGTCATTTATAGAGATAGATAAAGGAACATTCGTGTATGTATATTTGGCACATTCAGAAATGTTCAAAATAAAGATTAGATCCATTATTACGGAACAACAACAAATGTATATAGATATGCAAGTTTCACCACTTTCACGTGTCCGCTTCACACTTACGGTCTTGTGTATTTACCTATTACTGGATGTGTTTGTTTGAAATCTCGTCTTCTTCGTGTTAATCGCACGACTAAGCTCTATAGAAAAATGTGTACGAAAAGTGCCTAAAAAAATACATATACGTTATAATCCGGAATACGTTCAAAGTTGGACTTTCTAAGATCTTACTTCTAATGAAAAACTGATAGATAGTCCTCAATCTTTTACTATCTATACGGGTTGTACTATACGGGTCTCCTCCAACTCCCCCCTCCCACAAGTTTAATAACGTACTTCCCTATCTACGTAATAAAAAACTACTTGTAGAGCAGGCCGATTTTCGTGTAAATTCAAATTTCACATCCATATGTTAACCCACTGAAGTACACAAGCATAGTCATTGGTTGATGGTTGGTTGGTTAAGCACAAAGCTACACATTCGAAGTTTCAGTTCACTTTTACATTAAAAGAACAGAGCAGCTATTTTAAGTTTGACTCTGCAAATAAAAAATCTTTATATCGGTTTTTACATTAAAAGTAAATCATGAAAGAGGCCTAATCTCTAAGTATCAATATTGTTTAGCATCAATTATCAATTCAAGTTAAGAGTCGTTTGAGAATACTGCACCTATTTTTTTTAGGTGCCACTGAAATTCTTCATGTGTCTTTTAACATTAAATTAAAACCAGACAGGAGGCCTTACCTACCATTGATAAACATACCTGAGTAACAGACATATTCTACTGAGACACGTTGATGAAGAAACTACGAATGCCAGTAAAAGCAGTAGTAGTAAGAGAGAGAGATTGTTGCATGACTTCGTCGAGATACAAAACGAACGAGGTACACGACTTCAGGCCGGAAATCACGTATGACATCACTCACCTATACTGTTAATACAGACAAGCCACACACGTACGAGCTCTGAGTTTACAAGTATATCACTTTGTAGACTGGTGCCACTTTGGGATAAGTACCTCTTGATAACTTGGCCAAAAGGCTTTGTTGTATCACAAGAATTAACTGTGTATAAATGTATAATCAGGTTATATACATGAATATAAATAAACATGCTTTGGACTAAAGCCTCTCTTTGTCCAATCATGGTATGGCCAGTCTGCAATCTATCAGCAGTAACAATAAGTTGTTCTTAAAATAAAGGCCTTGAAACAAAACTAAAACCAATATAATGTGCGAAGAAGCCCAATCTGATTTTTTTTTCTTTATTGCAGAGCTATTAAGGTTATCTGCCACCGTCCCTAATTTTGAGCTTCCGACCAGAGGGAGCAGCCATCTCCAACTCTTAAGCCTAACGCAACAACGTAGTACGTATCTGAAAACATACCGTATTGACTGGACATTCGTTTTATATCAAGAAATGTATAGTTAACCGCATAGGCGACAAAGATATCAAAATTAAAGAATAGGTTAAACAATCGTCAAGTTTTTTTTTATATTTTTTTGTTTGAAGAATATGACGTTTTGAGCTACGTCAGATCGCACAGCGCTAGGTCTAAACGTCATCCTCTTCAAATAAAAATACATACAAAAACCATTGCTTAGTTATAAATCATGAGTGTTTATAACACCATCTGAATAGAGATAAAATAGGATTTATTTGTTTCTTATGGATTTGTACCAGAGGCAACCCATAATCCCCACAGTCTCCTCTAACCCCCCCCCCTCCGCTTCACAAGTGTCCCTCTTTTTGTTAGTGAGACCATGTCCGTTCAATGTCCTATTCACACTACTTACTGCTATACAATCAACATTAAATATCATATCTTACAAAATATGAGGTTTGATCTTCAGGCAATTCAATCGCCCAATTCAAGAAGTTTGGATAGATCAGAGCTCACTCAAAACACCTGGTTAAAGGGAACGTCGATATTTGTATAACCACAAAAGATAATTAGTTTAAATCAAGAGATACACCCATTCTCTGCGACCAAAACTAAAACTAAATTACAAAACAAAGTTCAGTAACAACAAGAGACGTGGGTTTAATGCGAATCAGACCAAAAATGATAACCATTTCTCTACATTTAGCTTGGTTTGAATTTTTGGGCTACTCTTTTACCAACAAATAGTGGGATTGACCGTCACATTATAACGCTCCCACGCGGCTGTGACGGGGATTCGAACCGGCGACCCTCAGATTGCGAGTCGAGTGCCCTAATCACCTCGCCAGAGTGAAATTGATGTACAATTTTTAATAATATGCCAAACACACTACCTCTGCTGTATCCACTGCCGACGAGGCCTTTTGACCAATAGCAGGGCTCTTCTGCCGGTTGGGATAGCAAAGGGTGGTGGTTAATACAGTTGCTACAATTGCTGCTGTTGGATTTTTAACACGAAGCTACAAAATGGATTATACGCGCGGGTAATCGAACCATGACGATGTTGTATTTTAGTGTTGTATGTTTGGAAACTTACCGCTGAGCCACTAGAGATCATAGTTGAGACGTTATTTATATTACTAAATCTCTTGAGAACAGTTGTTATGGTGTAAACTGAATTACGTTGGTGAAATGTAATTTTTCACCACTATACTATTTATTTAACCCCAACCGTGATTTGCCCGAAATAACTCGGGCGCCCTCTATGTATCGATAAAAATATTTGCTCAAGTTAATTCTGGCAAACCATTTCACGCCGTATTTTTAATTCATTGCCCGAATTTTTCGCATGTTATTATGTATTACAATCAGTGCTCGCTAGATGGCACCGACAATGTTGTTTGTGCTGATCTCTATCGGATTTTTTCTGAATTACGTATCATAAACATTGGAGAAGCATTCCTATTTTTTATTGTAATTTCAGATACGTAACATTTATTTATCGAGAATATTTTGTGAAAAAATACAATAACAGATCAAGAAAGAACTTTTCTTTCATTAACATAAAGTACAAGTTATCAAAAAGCGAAATATAAAATTATTTTTTTAACCTAACTTAAAAAAAAACCTAGATACGAAAGGGTTCTCTTTCAATGATAAGAAAAACACCTAGGCCTTTTTTTTTAA